ACAAGTTAGGACTATCCTTAACTGTAAGAAGATCATCCCTAAGTTTGCTCTTTATCAGGTGAGAATTTTAACATTTTTGGTAAACATTCCTGTTGATACAACATTGATATCAACATTATTGATATCAACATTAGTGTTGATATCAACATTACTGTTGGTATAACATTGTCTCTCTGATTCTTGGTCCTTTGTTTAAAGGTTATGGTATCTTTTCCATAAAACACTGTAAAAAGGCATATTTGTACCTTTGTTAAAGCTCTGTATAGAGCTGTATAGTCTCCAGAGGTGCTGGATATTTGAGCTGCTTAAAATCCATTCATCTTTAGGCTGTGAAAATCAAAACACCACCTTTTGCAAGGCTTGAAGGAACCTTTGGGAACATGGTATCCTGAAACACAATGTTAAAATGCTAGTGTGTACCTAAAAACTAGGTGAGGATGTGGAGAATTGTGTGGGTGGCTTTTGTTGAACTGTTTTAGCAGACCACAATGCTCTATTTTGAAAGTAATTTTTAGCCATTCTGCCTTTCAGAGTTAGATAATAATGAAAATGCTGTTTGGGAGTCACTAAACAATAAAGAACAGAACTAGATAATTTAGATTGTGTGACTCCAGGGACACAACTACCCTCTCCCACATAACCCCGAAGAAAGAAAGAGAGGAAGATAGAATCCTTGCATATGCATCCTGTTTAGAGAGGACATGTCGCAAGACTCTGCATCAAGGTGTCTGCTAAGCAAATTATCAAATGCTTATAAATGCAGCAGAGAGGATGGTGGGCAATTGTCCTGCTGCACTCGTGTGACTCCCCGTTTAAGACGGCATGTGAAGGCAGTGGCACCAGCAGCCAGAGAGACACCCTCACTGTCTCCAGGGCAGGGAAGGCCCAGCTCGGTGAACAGTGGGCAACATGATGCCTATGTGATTAGTCAAACCCGAGCTGCTGAGTCCTTCACCCTTCATTTCTTTCAGTACAGAAGAATTCCTTACCATTCCATTTAACCTTGGGAGTACCACATCTCCCTGTGTGGCCAACAGCTGAGCCAATAAAAGAAGCATTCCTTGAATACTTCTCCCGCTGAGGGAGAGCACGAGCTCAGGGTTAGGTTAACGGGGAGCATCTCAAACCTTTTTATCTAACGTTCAGAGATCACTATTGGTTAAAATCCTGATGGGGAGCTCTGTATGTGTCGTACTTCCAGAATGAAATGCTGAGATGAATCACTTTTAGAATAGAATTGGTTCAATAATCATACGCACGATAATATCATCCTGACCAAGAGCTGCCTTCTTCAGAAAGGCAGGCAGCCTGCTGGTGAGGAGGGCAAGAAAGGAAAGATGAGGTGAAGCAGGGTCTATTCTGAAAGCAGTACTGGTGTGTGGGCTATAATCTTTCTGCCAGTAGGTAAAGTATCTCTCTTCTCTTCCTGGTGCAGTTTATCCTCATCTCGAGCCAGCTGCAGGCAGCTATTATCAACATCTTGGCTATGCAAAGGATTATTCCCTGTGTCCCACCACTCTCCTCATCAGCAAGAGGAGCCTGTAAGTTCCAAAGGAAGGGGCTGTTCTTCACTTACTTGCAGAGGCAGCAGTTCACTGCTGCTAACTGCAGTATCCGGTGTTTTCCTGAAGAATTAATTTCCTGGATCGTGTAGCCATTTGAGAATCTTAGGTTTTATTTAAGAACAATAATAACACTTTTCTAGCTGTCATATTTGCAGAGAAACAGAGGAAAACTTGGTAAGAGTTTTGAGAACTTGAGTTAGAATCAGAAATCAGTGGCAAGAAACCAACAAGTATAATTATTGTTAAATCTCATGAATTTTGGATGCACATCTTAACAGCACGCTTACAGATGGGCAGTACTTTAATTCTTTAACTGATATAATTGCTGCGTGTGAGATATGCTGCATTATGGGAGTAGGGTAGCAAAGTTAGCTCACTTTGTCCAGACAGGAATAAATAAGTTGTTAATTCCTTGCCTGATTCTCATGTTTTTGTTTGTTTGTTCTGTTTTGTATCCTCCTCCCTGCATCTTTTTGGCAGATATGATCCACCAGTTCCTCATTGTGGAGATGTTCCTGATAACCCTAATCTCCCGAGTGGTCTATAGGAGAAGATACGACGATCTAGAACCTCCAGAGGGCATCCCCGAAGAAGGTGACGACAACAAGCAGACTCCTAAGATCATCTCAAACGGTGCCCTTAGTGAAGATGTATTGCCGGGGGTTTAGAAGGTCCCTGCAGGAGCTGGAAGCTCAGCTCCAGGAGCTCTCATATCCCTGCAACACAAGTAACCACTGCCCAAGTCAGAACAGCTTCTGGCATAGATACCTGTGAGCTGTACTGCAGGGACCAGTGAGTGGAAGGATAACCCCCTTTTTTCTCCAGTGATACATACACGATATGAGTGTTTTCATACCATAGCATTTACTAAGATTTCATGCCATGTAATTTTATCCTCTTGTCAAACACTTGACAGTGGCCAATCTCACAATATGATTCTTCTTTAGCTATTTGAATGGTTGTGATTTACAGATAATCCAAAGCCATTCTCTTTTCATCTTTTTCTGACTTTTGTTTTAAGCCTGTTTCAGGTAGGCTGGATCATACTCTCAGGTCTACACAGCATTTTCCCATCCGTCCTCCATTAGCATTTATCCTCTCTCACGTTGTGCCACAGGCTCATTGTAGATAATTTGGGTCAGTAAAGATATTTGTACATGTTCATGCAGAAATAGCCAAGCTTGTCCATGCTCTCCACCCGTGTAACTGATGAGCTCCTCAGGGAAAGACTTCCACATTCTCTGGCAATTCACATCCTAACTCTGTAAATACACAGCTGCTGTTTACAAATATATAATCAACTCTGGCAGATGCTCTTCCAAGGGAAGGCAGGTTCTCAGTCACTGCTCTGGTAAAGGAAAGTAAGGGTTATGATCCAC